AGTATAAATAAGTATTTATATTTGTGTACAAACTGTTTAAGCCTGTGTTTTTAGGGTTATTAATGAAGTTCATGTACTCAGACTAGTAATATTTGGTGTCACAAGTTTAAGCCATGGATACTTTGTGGGTCAGAAGATAAAAAGTTTGGGAAACACTGCTATAACAGATAATTGTCATATTTTCAAATTTCCTGTCCACTTCAACATTTTTAACAAAAACACAGTGGGGCTGCCCGAGCGGCCCTACCATTGATCTGTATGACGGGGGGATTATCTGGGGCGATCTCTGAGCCAGGGTCTCTGGAAAATCCAGGTTTAATCTGATGTCTTAGTTTTGTGATGCCTCAGATTCCTCCTGAACTTCTGTTTTTTTTTTAATGACCTCCATTCATATGTAAATATACTTTATACAGAAGGCAGAATTCACATTGTTGCATCAGTAGTTTACACAAGTTGTACAATAGTTTGGGGGGGGGGGGGTATTTTATTTTGAAATTTTTGACCAGAAAACAAGTGCATGTTATTTTAATTAATGTACTTAAATGGAGTTTTGTGCTGATGTCTGTTTCTTTTAATTTGTATTTGTAAGACAGCAAAGCTGGGGAGAAGACGGGTATTTTATTTTGAAATTTTTAACCGGAAGACAAGCGCATCTTATTTATTTAACTTTCTAAAATGGAGGTTTGTTGTGCTCAAACTTGTCCAGGTCTGTTCGCTGTTCTCTCCGAGCCTGTGTGTCCTGTAGGGCAGCGGGAGGAGGACATGTAGGCTGCAGGTCAGAGCTCTAACCTCCGGCCTGTTCGGTTCATCTGTCCGGGTCCAGCCCGCGGGACACGCCACGCACCGACACCGGGCGGAAGTCCTCCCCCGTCCCGTCTGTTTTCACGGTGCCWCCGCTGACCAGCATCACACAGAGGGATGTGGAAAGTCACTGTACCGGCGGTCTGTGTTGTGTTTACGGCCTGGTTCTTAGGGAACTTTGTTCTGGCCTGGTTTCAACACAAACACTTAAGACCCCAAACGCAGCACCACGACCACCCGAACCAGATCACAGACAGCCAGGACCAGAGCTGCCTCTGCCACGTAAGTAACATCATCCTCTGGACGGGTTTCCTTTCTCCTGCCTTAAACCTACAGTTATTAAACCTACCGTTATTAAACATAACATTTATCAAACATAACATTTATTAAACCTACAGTTATTAAACATACATTTATTAAACCTACAGTTGTGCACGCAGCACGAGCTGCTGATCTTCCAGCACTTTCTAGTTGTCTGAAGTGACGTCACCGGGACGCTCACCTTCACCTGTCTCCGGTCCAAACAGGACCAGTTCATCGGTGTGTTCAGGTCACATCACGTGGGTGGAAAGTTTCTAATGACAGAAAACACAAACGCTCAGAAGACTTTAATTTACAAATCAGTCTCGTGCTGTTTTCCAGTCGATTTGGGAGTGACGTCACATCCGCATTTACCGCGGTCTGTGCTGTTTGTTTGTTTGTTTGTTTGTTTGTTTGTTTGTTTGGATTTGCGCCACCGACAGAGACTGTGAAGTCCAAAAGTTTCTTCCTGCAGCGTTGTTGGGTTTTTGTTCCGTTTTCAGGCGCGTGGTGCCTTTATATTGGCTGCACGCGCCTCGTTCAGTTTGCTGGGGATTGTAGTTCTCTGGGGAGCTCTTAACACTCTTAGTCCTTTAATTAGAACTACAAGCTGGAAGCTTCCGGTAAGAGGCGGGGTTTAGTGTGACAGCGTGCTGTTTGGGGGCGTGGCCTATGTAATGACAGCTCAGCCCATGTACTTAGAGGAAGTTTGAATTGCAGAGGCAGCAGCAGGAGGGAAGTCAGACTGGTTTAAGTTCAGGACTCAGAGCAGCATGTTGAGAGGCCTCGGTCCCGTCCTGGCGGTCCTGGCGTTTGGTGGTCTGCTGAATTCAGAGGTCAGCTGTGTCATGTCTTCTGTTTTCTAAATTAAACCATGTTTCTGAGCTGCTGCTGTCACACCGAACTTATTACAGCATCGGCAGCTTTAAAGATCTTTATCAGCAGGTTAGGTCGTATTTCTCAGAAAGTACACTTCAGATACWATGTTGTTGTTTTCTTTCAGCTGTTGCCTCTTCAGGTGTCTCCTCCAGCTCACGATCTGTGTCACCACCTGTGTGCTTTGAAATTTGTAGTTAAAAAAAACAAAATAATCAAAGGAAACTATACAGGAGAACACGAGTGTAAACTTTTACTGAAACAAATTTTAACAAAACTTTTATAGTTTTCTACATGCGACACAGAAGAAGTGTTGAATCACTGAAAACACTTTATGTGCATCATGACTTGGTTTGCATATTATTTTACTTCATGCAAATTTAGATATCAGACTTTGAGCTGTTCTGCTGCTTTCCTTTACTGTTCATTTCCAGTAGGACTGCAGGAGATCAGAGAAACTAGTGATGGGCAGTAATGTTTCATACTGTGATGATGACCAGTGGTGGGCAGCGCTAATCCAAAAATTAGCTCCGCAATTTCTAAAGTGCTCATGAAAATATTTAGGTCCGCAACTTCAAAAARGCTTATGCCGTAGAAMAATTATCGGAAGCTGATTCTAAAGCACAAGTTCAGTTTGARACTAGCTYGCAACAATTGTACAATTTATGTACAACACTGCTGACTAGTGGTGTARGAACTCTTTTACAGTTTAATCCTACAAGCACAGATTGCTGGGGATGTGATTTCCTGAAACAGACCTTTGGCTCCWGGTGTAAAAATTAYAAAGTTATTGAGGATTGCTAATTCGGCTGCTTCTTTGTCTTTTTCTTTTTTGTTGTAGATTTTTCATTAAAGAAGCATCAATAAAGTAATTTAAAAACTGTTTATTGGAAAACTGAAGNTATTTAGACGTCCTATTTTGCAAATGCTGCCTTCCTGAAATTTGGTGTGCTTGTTTGTCTTTGTGTCTATGGTGTATAATGATGTGATTGTGATGCTGTAATTCTGAGTGTTTTATGTGCTGCAGAACATGAACCTGCTGTAAAACAGCAATTATGCTGAGTCAGGTTTGATTTTTAGTAATCTTTTCCTGTTAAATCAATAAATCAAATCAAATCAAATCCCCATAGCCCTAGCCCACTGCCATATTTTTTATTTACTTTATTTTGTATTTTTATGTATTTTTTTCTATTCATTGAATGAAAAACCAGCTTCTCATTCAGAGGACATTTTGTAGAGATGTGGATATCATTTTTATCCACACCAGATTCAAATCTGACAATGGATTAAAAAAGAACCTTAAAAACCTTCAACATAACACCAAATTCATGTGATTATCTCAAGTATAAATGAAGTTCTGGATGTTTGTTTASGTGAAATCAGCTCATAATTTCTTGCTGCAAATCACAACTGAACCAATGGGGCCTTTGAGCTCATTTCARCTTATCTATTTTTGCTCATAACGTCCTTAGTATTAAAATTATCGCCATGAAGTTTTAGGAAAAGATTTACATTCTGGTCTTTGCAAAAAAACATCTTGTATCCTAAAAACAAATAAATCTTTATTGTAAAATCTAATCTAAAAGTAGTAGGGACATTATAAAATAATATTATAAGGCTCATTTTACCAAACTGCAACATTAAATCAACTTGATGTGCCTTAGAAAGCTAGGAATTGAAAACCATTTAAAAACCATGTGGACATTTGTAAACAAATCTCCTCAACCAATGACAGTGTGTGAAATGTGTCAAATGATGAAGACGAGTATCAACACACTTTGCTGACATGCAATATTCTGGAGCGAAAAGAACATACTTCAGTGTTTCAAATTTGAACAAAGGTACATAAAACAATGCTCTTCATGTTAACTTCACTCTTTAAAGGTCACTTGAAAAACTCGGATGATTGACATTGATCCTATTTTCAATTAAATAGCTCCTCAAAATMCAATGACAAAAATTAAAAACTTGAAAATGAGGCTGTAGCTACAACTCCTTGCAAAAAGTKTGGAATCACCAGTCTTGGATGAGCACTCATTCAGACATTTCATTCTGTAAAACAAACTCAGATCAAAAACATGACACAATAATGAGGTCATTCCAAAGTGCAACTTGTTGGCTTTTAGGAACACTCAAAGAAATGAAGAGAAAACTTGTGCAAGTCAGTGAATGTTACTTTTATTGACCAAGCACAGGGGGGAATATATGGAATCACTCAGTTCTGAGGAAAATGTATGGAATCACTCAATTC